AGCTTGATCTAGAAAGCAGAAATCCCATTTTTTATACTACTGCCAAGTTTATTTCGAAAATATATGTAGTGGCATTGGGATGAGCTCATGGAGAACATCTGCTTCACCCCCACCACCTTATTAACTGCATGCTAATGCCTAAAGTGACTTTGTTTTGAAGAAAGCCTTCCAAAGCATGGTGTGAATCTCTCTTCCTCCTAGAATATGTGCATCTTTATAATGTAAGCAAAGCAAAATGCAAACACTATAAACTGTACTGGGTCTTTCCTTGGTGCATGGTGGCCCATCAGAAACTTCACACACCATCTTATTGTGCTGTCTGCTTAGGACGGAAAGTGCCATTTATAAGTTTTCATTTGATGTGTTCAGTCAACACAGATGTGGAAGGGGAAGCTGTGTGCACTAGTCCTGCCTTGTGCTCCTGTGTGTGCAGCTTCCAAAAATGCAAATTCTTCACCCATTCAGCTGAATACACTTATAATCATCCCACATTGAGGAGTCCCACATGGGCAGCATGATTGGTAATGCAATCAAGTGATTGCAGGAAGAATCCTCTTTGGCCTCAAAGCATGAAGGTTAGGAAAGAGCCAATGGAGGTTAAGAGGCTAAGGCTGTATCCATTCAGTGGACTCACTCAGCCTGAGCATATGCAGCGAGAAAAGCTGCAGGATGCCTCTGTGCTGCTTTTCCTGTGGTTCTGGCAGTGGATGGCAGCTCAGCCCCAACAATGCATGGAGTGAATGCAGCCTCTGGCCTAGAGGGCTGCTGTTCCCCTTCGCCTTTGCAAGAGTGGAAACATCCCTGTGTGATCAAGGAGGGACAGAAGCATAACTTTTATGCATTTAACAAAGCAATCTCAATAATGCCTCTTTGAGCTGCACAACTGAAAACGCACTCCTACAGATGTGCTTGCGGTACGAACACACAGGGAGGTGGAGATGTGGCATGTGGCTCTTGGCCCTCTGACAGTGCAAGTGTCAGGCATGCCAGGGCGACTTTTGCAAGCAGATGATGTGCAAATATCAGTGTGGGTTTTGCGCAAGTATCTCCTAAGAATTTGGGGGTCATTTTGCACCAGCACCATCACTACAGTAGAGCTCGAGAAGGCCTAGAGAGAAGGAAAGTGTCCCCATCATAGGATGCCCCTTTCATGCTGCTCCTGGCTTGAAAGAACATTTCCAAATTCTATTAACAGCAGGATGCAGATCTTATTTTGCTTACAGCAACTTGTTTGGAAGTGGATCCTGTTGCTAAGGCACTCCTGGAACTATATGCCTGATGGGGATTATGGGTACTCTGTCCCATAGGGACTAATAATGAAACTAAGCCTACCTGGTCTTTCTATGGATTGGGCTGTTTGCTTCTTATGTGTGAGAAAAAAAGTCAACCACAAACCTTGTTTTGGAGTTGGATTGTTCCATCAATAAGTCTTTGAACATGTAGCTTCACTGCACTTATAAATGACATTTGCAAACATCGTCTCACGTCAAACACCAGATTTCTTTATTTTCTTTGAAAATAATCCCTGCATGTTTACCTCTTTTGTGTAAACAACGGTGACAATTTGCTTTTGCAAAACTGTAAATTTTGATTTTAAAAAATACTCTCTTCATGAAATCAACAATACGCAAGACAGTGTCTTAGCTGCAGTCTGGCTTCCTCTTACTTATTAGAGGGAATTGCATTTATCCTAAATAGCAAAAGATAATAATATGGCAATATACATATATATTTATTTATGTATATATATAAATGTTCAAACATTAGTTGTAAGGTGACCTTGAGCAATGAAGTGTCTTTCAGTTCTTCAAAATTAACTTAAGAATTCTGCAAGCACTTCGTTTCCCCAGTGACGTGTTACATTGATCGGGCCAGGAGGAAACGTACTTGCGCCTGTCCTCCCAGTCAAGGGGCCATGTGCTCACCCATGTGCAAAAAACAGTGTATCTTGTGGAGTGCTTGCTTTTTTGGTGTTCCATCTTCAGGGGCTTTGAACCACACTGCAGTCCTACAGGGATCAAAATCTCCGACACTTCCAATTGATGCCCAAGCCACGAACAAATTTGGACATCCTCGAGGGATGCATTGCTTTGGAGGTGGTTTGTGTCCACTCACGTGTATACAACATTTCTCTTCTCTGAATTCCCCCTTCCCAAAGCTGCTTTCTTTTCTGAAAATAGTTTAATGGCTCTGTGACATATGTCTGTGCCAAATGTGTAGTTGCCCTTGTAGATCAGCATAATTAGTTTTCAGAACCTTAGATGTGGTGGTTTCCTCTATCTTGGCCAGCATGTGGATTTAAAAAAGGGAAGCAAAATAAAAGCAGATCTGTCATTCAGTGTAGGATGTGTATTCTTTGAAATGCAACTCTGACTTTTGCTCAAGCTTACAACAGCATGTCCATTTCATATTTTGTTTTGCACTATTCCGATTTATAGTCCCCTCTTGCTGCAATGCTGCCTGTGGACCTCATTTCCAATGCAATGTGTATCTGCAACACGAGTATGCCAGAAGCCTTAAATTCTTGGTTCCTTGGTGGGGAAATACCTCTGCCCTTCCTTTCGGGAGCAAGCCGAGAGTTGTAGGAATCCTTTCTGTGGAAACATGCATGGGCTTGCACCTTGGGGTTTGGTTGTCTCCCACCCCGCCACATGGTCTCCAGTGCCCACAGAGTGCCTCAAGCAAGGAATTAATACAGTTCCTTTCCTAGGGCTTCTTGTTTTGCTGGGAAAAGCTTGCCTTGTTGCATGTACTGGTGTCACACTGCCCAAGACATCTGAGATCTTTGCCAGAGAGAATATGTGGCAATCCTGAACCATTTTCCAATCAGCCATCTACTTGTGTATCATCCCTGCCTATTTCTGAGCCTTTTATTCCTTAATCGTTCCCTTTATCAGGAAACCTCTCTTAAAGAACAGTATGGAAGGGTGAGTTGTCCATTGAGATCTTTTAGATGCAATCAATGAAGTGTTGACCTGAAAGTTTTGTTCATTTCTCAAGAACACCTTCATGATTTGCTTTTAAAGGACATTACAATTGAAGACCAAAGAGCAATATTTATCAACATTTAAATAAAACATTTTGGTGGCATTTATGTATAAATATTTTTTCATAGTAACATAACACAAAATTAAATAGCTCAGATACACAGACACTATTTAATATACTTCCACGGTTGTCAAAATCATCTGTAAACACCGTCTCACACTGAATACAAAAGCAGCTTTTATACCAGTTTTGTGTTCACAACACTGATTCCCCTTTTCATAAAGGAAGTTGCATTTTGTTTCATTTTGTCAGATCTGAGTGTTAGGTCAAAAAGAAAGAGAGAGAGGGAAATATCCCTAGAAGATGCTTGGTCAGTTGAAAGCGTAATATACAAATCATTTTCCAAAATGTAAATAAATCTGATCTGAAACAAAGCTTTAAGTACAGTCCTTTCCATGGGGAACTCCTGACTTGTCGAAAGTACATTAGAGGCACGATCCACTTTAAACATCTCCTGGGCATGCGTCACTGAGCAGCCGGAAGTTGCATAAGCGCATGGTGGTTGTGCCCAAGATCTCAGGTACTAACTGCATGGAAAATACCCAGAATCACTGCTCACATCTCAACAATAAATACTGAAGCCCTTTTTTGCCTTTCTGAGAAGGTGCTTAGCTATTTAAAATAGCAAACCATTTACATTAATTTGGGACATTGTACTGCACGAACTTGAAGTTTCCACTACTGGTTGCAACAACGATACAAACAACAACAGAAGCTTTCAAAATTGACAAGCACTTTGGAAACTGCCAGGTCAGGTTTTTTTTAAATACACAATGAATTCCCCGTATCTAAAAATGCTTCCAAAATGTGCAGAAAATAGAGACACAGAGTGGTTCAGCGAACCTTCCGGTGCAGTCTGATCAGAACCCTGCCTGACACAGCCCACTGGAGACAAGCGATCTGCTGATTCCCTACATGACTTCTTGCTGGTGCTACCCTCAAAGCTCCCTTGCCTCCTAAACAGAATGGGTGGGATTTCCGCATCTGCACGGGATCCCCTTCCAACATGCAAGGAGCACTCCCCTCTTGTATTGGCACAATCCAAATCCAAGCACCAGGCTGCAAGCCTGTCTGTGACATTCACATTTAAGGCAGAAATACAGCCTGTGGAGACTGCAATTCCCAGTGCCCCGTGCTCTCTGCTAAATACATAAGGAGGATTCTGTCATCTGCATGTGGTCTCGTGTCTCCAGCACAGAGAGATTTTGAGCTCTTCAAGGTACATCTTTGTATGAAAAACATGCACAATCATTCCTCTGTAAAAATGTGTGGATATGGTCTGTGCCTTTCTGGTACTTCCCCCGGCTGTACAGATTTAGAGTATGGTTTCGCCTCTTAAGGGAGAAGCCAGATTTTCAAATAGCTATTTTCAAGGCTCCTTAAGCTACTCGCATCTCACAAGCGTAATCAATAGTGCCTAGAAAGGCAGACACCATCTTGCTTGGCAAACATTGGCAAGCTCTGAGGTCATGGGGTATTCTTGCGCAGGTTCAGGAACAACTTGGGCTAATGAACTGACACTATCGCCTAATTAGGAGAGAATGGGAAGCTCTAAGGCGCCTGGGGCAACCAGTGCAGTGCGGCAAATACACACATGCCCTATTTGTTTGGCCACGCCTGCCCAATTTGTGACTGCTTTGGAACATCCTGGACGCCCTGGGAAAGTGCTGTGAGGGGGCTAGCCTACATGTGCTCACCTGAGATCCCAGAATAGAGTCACACCCGACTACGGGGTAGACGACCGCTGTCATATGCAGCTTCTTGGGATGTTGTAGGAAAACTTTCAGATGTCTTAGTAAAAACTCTGAAATTAGTTGTTTTTGCTTAAATGGTTACATTGAACAGGAAGTAGTAAAAGGATGAATACATACAGCCAGGCTGTTCCATTCACATCTTGAAGATGAGCTATTTGTACTTGGCTCCAGAAACCCCCTCCCTCCCTCCCTCCCTCCCATATTTGCGTTCCCTTTAATATTCCTTTCTGTGGTTAAAAATACTATTCTATGAAGCTTCCCGAGGAATCCGCTTATGAAAAATGACTGACTGTCTCTGCTGATACTGTTGTTTACGCCGCTTACGCTTGTCACACTGACAGAGCAGCAACATCTTGAAAGTGGTTCGGAATGTTTTATTGCACAGTGCGTAGCACATTGGGTTCACGGTGCTATTGATGTAGCAAAGCCAGTACCCCAGGTTCCAAAATGTCTTGGGAATACATTTATCGCAAAAAGTGTTTACCAGGACCATGATGTTGTACGGGGTCCAGGTGATAATGAAGGCAAACAAAATGGCACTGAGTGTCTGTGCAGCTTTCTTTTCTTTGATGAGGGACATTCGTTTCCGCTTGGTGATCTGACTTCTTGTCTTCAAGGCAAATTTCTTAGCCAGGGTAGCTTCTTTGAAGGACAAAGGTAGGGCAGCAGCCGCCTTAGACCCTGTTGAAATGCAATCGGAAGCCTTCCCTGGATGCGTTGCTGATCCTGGTTGAATTGGAAGTTTGGGAAAGCACTTCTGCACAGCCTGTAAGTTTCCATCCTCCACACTCTTTTGCGGATGAGCCCTTTTGGGCTTCCTCTCCTTTGAATCTGTGTCCATCTTCTGCAGTTCATCCTCAGACCCAGGCAGGTCTTCTGATGAAGGTAGCTTTGTAGAGTTGAGGATAGTGCTGTGCCCTGGAAGCTTCAGGACAATGGAATAGATGGCTCTGGTCTCAGAGGCAAGGTCATCTTCATCTGAAGAGGCGGAGTTCTCCAGAGACGCGTTGCCATCGTTGTTGTTCCAGCTGTCGCTGCTGCTGTGCTCCTGGTCGACCTGATCTGAGCTCGGTTTCCAACTCTTTGATGTCGTCCAGAAGTGGCAGCCTCCGTACTTCCTTCGGCTGGAGCGCCGGTTCTGCTGCTGCAGCTCGTAGCTGCTGCAGCTTCTTGAGCTGCCCGTCTGGTTGACAAAGCGGACTGCCTCCGCTTCGCTGCCAGAGGCCTGAAGTCCTGCTAACTCTTTGGTACGCTTCTCCGTCTCCTTGTATATCCTCCAGTACAAAATACTCATAATGGTGACTGGCAAATAGAAGGCAGCTATGGCAGTGCCGAAGGTGATAATCGGTTCGCTTAGGAACTGGATGTAGCATTCACCTTCGTTGACCGTTCGCTCCCCAACGAAATACTGCCAGAACAGGATAGCCGGGGCCCAAAGGATAAAGGAAACAACCCAAGCCAACCCAATCATCACCCCAGCCCTTTTGGTTGTTCGTTTAGCTCTGTAGGTGAGGGGCCTGGTGATGGAGAAATATCTGTCAAAGCTGATGACAAGAAGATTCATGACAGAGGCATTGCTGGCGACATAGTCGATGGAGAGCCACAGGTCACAGGCCAAGTTTCCCAAGGCCCAGCGGTCCATGATTATATAGGTAGTGAAAAGGTTCATGGAAATAATGCCAATGATCAGGTCTGCACAAGCAAGACTCAGCAAGAAGTAATTGTTGACCGTTTTCAGCTGTTTGTTGACTTTAAATGCCACAATCACCAGGATGTTTCCGATGATGGTCAACAGGGCCAGGAGGCCAGTGAGGAGAGCGATCAGGATGACTTGCCAGGCGTTGTGCCCACCCAGGGGATCAGGATGACCTGTGGACCCATTGCTCATTTCCATGGTGGTGAGGGAAAAGCTCTCATTCGTTTGGGAGAGGCCATAGCTGCTGGTGAACGGCAAGGCATTGCCTTGGGCATCTCGAATCCAGGAGCTCACGTTTGGAACCAGGGAGGAGACTGTAGTGTTGCTAGACAGGGTCATTGTGACGCTCTGACATATTCTGCAGGAGGGTCAGGAACAGAAGAGAGAAAGGAAAGAGTAAATTAAGGTTGGTCAGTTCTTTGCTGTTATCCCAGGCTCAGTTTTCTGCTAGTGTCAACTACTTTATCGGAAAGGTCTAGTTAGAAGCTACGATTCCTCCCTACAAGGGCCAGACCTGGACTGGCCCCATATCATGGGGAAGAGGGGGTTGGGAGGATTAGTCCTTTGCTCCAGATGGGTGCCCTGGGCATGCAAGTTACATTGTGAAGAGCAATCCAATTGTTTTCGTGGAACACTTTTTGGGGATGTAAATTGCAGCATGAGAGCCCAGGGTGGCTGGGACCACAGTGCTGGGCAATGGACAGAAGCTTCAGTTCCCTGCCCTAATGCTAATATCTTGAACTGGACTGAGTTACTAGCACTTAATTTTGTGGAAAAAAGATGCAAGTGTTAGTCGTGTCTATCCCAGCAACCTTTCTAGCACAATTTCTGTTGTAATGCATCATTATACCATTGGTTGAGTGCCTGCAGGTTTTAAAAATGAAGATAACTGCACTGGTCCATGAATAATAAGATTCAAGAACCACAGCTCAGCATTACTTTTACAAATGATTGACAAACTTCTGAGTTTACCAGACCTCTTTCTTGGACTGGGTCAGTCCTTCCCAATCTGGTCTCCTCCTGATGTGTCTGAAGACAACTTCAAACGTTTCCCAGCCAGCACTGTCATCCAACACATCTGGAAGACACCAGCCTAGTAAAGGATGTGCTAGGTGGAATCAAAGATAAGAGATGGGAGAAGAAAGACACAAATGAGGCCAGATTTTGCAGTCATGGGGCCTGCAGTAAAGACTACATTTCAAAATGGTGACTGTAGATTAGATGAATCCCTGAACAAACTGCAGTACCAAAACATACCCAGCCTTCTGAGATATGGATGCAATGAGTGACTCTCATTTCTGCAAACAGAAAGGTTAGCTCAGCTGTGATGCAGATGTTTTGGCCAAGATGCAGAAAAAGTCTGGCTAATTAAGTTCCTCCCCTCCCAACCGCTTAGGGATGTATGTATGTATGTATGTATATATGTATAGAAATAGGATAAATAAATAAAATAATGGAAAATATCTCCATGTACGACAAATATTTTTAAAGGGTTCTTTTAAATGTCAACCCGGTTTACCAGATATTGATACAATTTTGAGGATTAATACAATGATCAAGAATTGTCTTCAAGATGCTAAGAAATCCTTGCATTGCATTACTAGGAAGTGGGTTTGGTAGCTAGAAATATACAAGGAACTCCTTGCAGCAATCTTCTTTCTCCTAATTGATTTTTCTGAAGCCACAACAGCTGTCATTAGGTATGGTCCTCTACCCAAGGAAACTTGCTGCTCCAGAGTTTCTTTTCACAAGGCTTCATTGTCACACATCTCTGTTGTTGCACATCTCTTGATTCACCCAGAGTGAAGGGCTCAGTCCTCTCTAACACCTCTCAGTCTCCAGTCCCCTTATACCCATTTCACCTGTGCAATCCCACGGGCCGGGCACTGTGCAACTTCACATGTCATAGCTCCTCCCATTTCTCTGTCAACCAGAACTCCCGCCTGTGCTGTCTTCTAGCAACCGGCATCATCTCTTCAAGGCAAGGGACCACTCTATCTGAAAGACTGCTCAACTCCTGGAGTGCACCCTGACCAGTTCCCAGTTCTTCCCCCGATCTCTCATTAGAACATCAGAGCTCTTGTCAGCCCTGACTGTCAACTCCTCCTTCTGCTGGGCTATCTCCCCATTCCCATGGGCTGGCTGGCTATCACCTCCACCCCCCTGGACTAACGAGCCCCCTCCTTGTTCCCCAGCTGTCCCCTGGCCTTGATCTGATTCTGGAGCTTGCTGACATCCCACAACCCCTTCATCTTCACTGTCTGAACTCAAATTCCCATCGAAGCTACAAACTGGCCGGCATGTTCTGGCAGCTTGTCCCTGTGCTTGCGCATGACAACAGTGGCCTTCCTCAATCTAGTGCTTTCCACACTTTGGATGGAGTTGTAGTCCAAAAATGTAGCAGATATAATTAGTGTAATATGCTGCTGGGCAGTCTTCCCTAGATGTTTTGGACTACAGCTCGCATAAGCTGCAGCCAGCACTGCCAATAGTCAGGAATTATAGGAGTTATAGAGTAAAACAGCCAGGTTGCCTACTCCTTGGCAGCAGTCACTGATACAATCACAAATGAACTCTAATTTAGTGAACAACAGCAACCACCACACCCTGCTGGCTTAAGGCCAGAGTTAATCCTTAAGCCTAACCCTGGCCTAAGCTCCACAAAGCCAGGAAATTGGTGAAGGCTGATGCTTGACCTGGCATGTTGGATGATCAGTGAGGATGCTGCGCAATGTCACAAGCTGTGCTTGCTGGCGGCTCATCCTGCTTGCACCTACACCTTTCCCCTCAGGCCCGAAGCCAGATGGAGAGGAGGGAGGGCGTGAGCGAGCAAAAGTGCTGCTCGCTGTCCTCGTCCTGCACCCCATCCTCCCCATCTGGACCTGGGCCCAAAGGCCCTAGAAAAGGTGACCTAACAAAGGCATCACTTACGTGTGGATATATTAAGTCAAAGTAAGATGGTAATTGGTTAGAGGGTGCGTTTCAGCCCAGAGATTTGACATAAATGGGAGAAGTAGAAAAAGACAACAAACAGCTTGTCTAAAAGTACATTTGCATATCATGAAACTAAACAGGTAAATCACTCCATGATTCATCAGGCGTAACACTTGAGCCACTCCACACACTGATTACTGATTACTAATTACTAATTAAAAGGGAAATTGTTATACACGGTAATTAGTAGATGGTATAATAAATCTAAACATTGCTCAAATTATCCATACTATAGTCAATTTGTTTGCTAATGATCCCCTGCATAGTTTTTCCCATTTTCACAGAACCTGCCCAGTGGCCGAATAATTTCATCAAATGATCTAGCACAGCTGCAAGTCAGTGGTGGAGCACTCGCTTTGCAAGCTCCAGGGTCAGTGCCTGGCACTTCTGGTTAAAAAGGAGATATCACTGCAGGACATGGGAAGGACTTTCTGGGCTGATTTGCACATCCTGATAAGCCACCTTGTAACAAGTCACTGCAGGCTGGTAATTCAAGAGCCACCCTGCAATCAGCATCGCTGAGGCTTGCTTCTTACCTGCTCTTCAGCCAACTCTCTGCATGCATCCCAAGGCCCGCCCAGCAAAATTCCTGTGGTTCCCCCCTTTCTTACCTTAACATACATAGGTCATATTTTGAGGGGGGGTGAGGACCTTACTTTTAGGTAAGGCGGCTGAAGGTATCACTATTAATTATTATACATTTTCATATCCCACCTGTTCCAAGTTATTGGGACTCTTGGCAACCCACAACATTTAAATCCACACAGTTAAAACATTCAAAACTATACACAAGTTAAAAATACAATTCAGTCAATTACATATGAAAATTAAACCACTGCCAAAACCAAAAACACTAGAATTATAAACACTAAAACCAGCCTAGTGCAAACTCACGGGCTGCTCCCAATTGTTTGCTGGAATAAAAAGATTTTGCCTGCTTACAGAAACCTTACAGGGAATTCCAGAGTCTGGGGCAGGCAGGGAAGGCCCTCCAGTCCTCCACAGTCATGTCTGTGAGGGAGGTGGGACCAAGAGAGGGGCCTCCCCAGGAGATCTTAGAGCTCATTCAGGCTCACATAGGAAAATATGGTCACTTCTTAATTTTTAATTCTTTCTTCTTTAACGCCCCCCCAAAAGCTCCTTATTCTTGGCAGCCAGCTCTTCTTCTTAGCACAGCTATGCATGTGTTCACAACTGATTTACCTCTGCACAAGTGTGTTTGCCCCCAGTTCAGGAACCAGCGCTTTGGGAAGGGTTATGTAGCTCTCCTGTTTGCATGCTAAACTCCTCTCCCCAATGGAGAATAGATAAAAAAGGTTAAATGAGACTTTTTCCTTTTTCAACCTTTCAGACTGGGGGAAGAGGGATGATGACATGAAAACAGGGGGGTGGGGTGGGGTAAAACCCTCCCTTCTGAATTGCCCTGGTCCTAATCCAAGTGTGTGCACACTTACCCAGAGGTAAGTCAATCAGGCATAACTATACAGCTGTGCTAATGCAGCTCCCAATGAATAAGGCCCATGCCCGGTAAAGGAAATACTAAGCTTGAGGAGCCGGAGGAGCGGCTGGTGGGCTCTCAAAGAAACCATGCAGAAGTCACTCTGCTAAGTTCAGACGGCATGCCAAGCCACCCTGAGCAGCCCAGCAACACTCCGTGGCTTCTCAGGTGGCTTGTTTGTGGAAGTCACAACAAGCCACCATGGATAATACCCTATGGTGAGTTGTTGAGCAGTGAGAACCATGTCTCTGTGTTTGCAGGACTGGGTTAGATGGGCCAGCAGTCTAATTCAGGTAAGGGAAAATCCTATGCTTGTGTAAACAATGCGCCATCACTTAAGTGAATTAAAATAGATATTAAAAGCAAGACTTAGAAGCAATGGAAGGAAGGAAGATATAGTAAAGGGAAGTCACAGGCGGAGCTCTGCAAGACCTGGAGAAGGAGAAAGAATAGATTGGCAGTAGTTGTAGTGATTGACCTGCCACAACAAAAGCAAGATTGCCACGCTTTGGAAACATTTAAAGGGTGCTTTGGGGCAGGAGGCTCTCCTAAATAGCCTCGGAAATCTTATCCTGTGCAGAGGTGATTGTCATGATGCAAAGCCACATTTCTTCCTTCCTTTATAAATCCACATGTCCTATTTAAAGCAACTCTCAACAGTCTCTGGGATACTTGTACTTTGCCCATGAAGCTGCAGCTATTGTGCAGATGCTTTTGGATACAAGCCTTCTGGACAAAAAATTGGTAATGACAGACTTAGTATTCAAAAGCTGATCTTCCCGTTCAACCAAGAATATTGGCAAGCTTACAGTTCTGCTTTGATTACATCGCTATCTAAATGAAGCAGTTTAAAGATTGCAGGATTT